CTTACCTTTTGATTTAGATAAAGACATGCGGTAATTGGAGGAATGTACACAGTGCGCAAAATCATCATAAAAATTACAAAACAAATCTTGCAACCATCAACAGGACGGTTCTCCAGGTAAAACGGGAAGCCATCACAGTTTAATGTTGGTAGTTTACTTCCCCATTGACAGAATTTAAATCATTTAGCAAGAGGGCTTCCGACCCTGTTTGTCAGGGCCTACCTCAGCTGGGAGGGATACCATATCGCAGTAAGAAGATAACCGATAAAAATTTCTCCCCACTTTTGAATCGAACTCGGATCTCCTGCCTGCATATATTACAGACGCAGGTAAGTTAGTTTAAAAAATTGTCCCTTGGCCTTCGCTTTTCACATAAATCATGATAAGATGGGAATAAGAATAAAATTATAATTCATTTAGAATAATGGTGATAATAATTATAATCTAATGACTACAACAACAACAACAACCATAACAATAACAACAGCAAAAAAACAATAATATTGGCAGGGATAGTGTTATTGATGATAATATCAAGGTACAATAACCATGATGAGAATAATAACCATAATAAGTATAGAAGCCATCATCTTATTCTGCTCACCTGGATACCAAAAATCTCTATGCTGATGTATTTGCTGGTTTCCCCGTGTTTGAAAGTGACCTTGCTGTTCCCGCCAGCATACTCATGGCCAGTTTTAGCTGAGAGGTCCTTTGTCCTCCAACTGACCACTACCTCACCGTCTGCCCCGTTGATACGATTGATCACAAGCTGCGCTGACCCAGCGCTCTCTTTTACGATGTAGCTGGGCTTTCCGAATTCTAATTTACCAGGCTCTGGAAGGAAAGTAAGTAAGACCTGACGTTACAAAAAGGTTTGGCCCGACACAACAGTCGAACGCTCTCGAATGGCAACCTGTGTAAGACAAGCACCTGTACAAACGGCCACTCCCTATTTTCTCATATGGTTTTTTTTCTTTATACATTATAATAGCACTGTATGAGACAGCCATCGGCTTAAATATAGCTACTTTTCTCCTCGACAATAGATGATCGTCTTAGACAGTTTCACCTGTATTTACCAACTCTTTTAACTCCTACCCTGTTTAACCCTCTCCGTATGCCCTGGGGTCATTTTGTACCCTCGGATTGTATTATTCACATTTTAGAATACTTCTAGTACGAAGATCTCTTTGAACTTTCAGTATTAATTTCTCAAACAATCATTTTGTCAGACTACTATGCAACGCGTACAGATCGGATGAATGAGTAAATTTTCTCTTTGGAAAGTAGTGGCACCGGGTCCCTATGTCGTATTGATTCGATAGTAAAACACGACGTTCTGATAGGGTTAAACTACCATAATATTTAAGGTCGAACCTACTCTAGCAACCACATATCCTAGACCCTCAGCTGTAAAAACAAACGCTCATGTCTTTCCTCCATTTGTTTTATTCTATAATATGACACTATCCAAGAGGATCACCTGTCTTAGATGACCACTCTTCTTCTCGAAAATAAATGGTCGTCTTGGAAAGGTTCGAATGTATTCATACCGATGAATACTCTTGGGTAGTCCCTTAAAAATAAACGAAACTAATAAATAGTCAAGTGCACACCTTTTGTATGACAGGTTGGGAATTTTTTTATTTTTTTATTAATTGTTTGGGGGGAGACATGTAAACCCTTTAAAATATTAAATTATTGCACTATCGTGCTGCCACAATACGACTTTATTAATGCATCGTAAAAATTTATAGATACCTCTCAGTTTCTAGGTCGATACTTTATGGAGTAACATGGTCATAAAGAAAATAACTGACGATATTACTCGCAGCTTATAGATATGTTGGTGTCTTAAAAATTCACTATGAAATTCAAAGACAGCGGCCTTTACGTCAGAGAAATACGATGCCAGTTGACAAGAAAGTCCTTCAGAATGTAGAAATTTTATTCTTGAACTGGCTTGCAAGTAATTTAGGGAACAAGACCCGGTTTTAAAATAAAACAAAACAAACATGATGTTTATAAAGCAGTGGTTTAAATATGTGCAAAATTGTATAAGTCCAACAACGCGTTTAACAATACTATTGTAGAGGTTACCAATTAAAATCTAAAGGCGAAAACAGAACAAAATCCACTTACCATCATCATTAACAATTGTGACCTGGTTGATGGAGGTTTTCCCGATGGTGACCTCGTCCTCTGAGCTGCCGTCCGGGTGATGGTAGAGCTTGACGAAGAAGAACTCGTCAGGCTCCCAGACGTCATCGTCCACGATCTCGATATAGAAGTCTTTGAGGCGCTCGTCTGGCCCGAACGTGATCAGCTGTTTGATGGGCTTGTAGTCGTCCCCGGCCTCCGCTGTGCCGTCTATCGTCTCCACGCTGAGGGGAAATGACAAAGTTGGATATGATAATAGTGAGAAGAAGAAGAAGAAGAAGAAGAAGAAGAAGAAGAAGAAGAAGAAGAAGAAGAAGAAGAAGAAGAAGAAGAAAAA